TTTTAATGGCTGTTAAAGAAAAATTATTTGATTAAATAAAATAATATGCTGTTTACTAAATTACTAAAGTATGTATATTTTTTTCATTATGTAAGGCTTATATTTCAGAATTCTACTTTGTGACATATTTAAGACATTTAGGGTCATTTTATATTTTAAATTTCTTAATAGTTAAATTTTTCAATTTTATTACAGTACAAGTGTAACATTTAAGGTGTAATTCAAATATGACATTTTTCTCCATAATTTGCAGTGATACTTTTACATTCATCCCTTCGTATGAGGAATGTGAAGAATCGTTTCACCAACATCAAAATGGAATATGGAGACATTGTTGGCATGAAGAGGACACCCATGAACCTTATTCTGGATGCGTTAGGGCAGCAACCTGAAGTTGTTGCACACTGAAATGTGATAGTTGAGATGTCACATCCAGCACAATGGGCTTCACACCTAACACAATGAGACCTAGGTCTGGGTCAAATGTTTGACTGTGCTGAAAACTTTTGGCTGATTTATAAAATGTGCTATTCTGAGTACAGTAGGCATTAACATTTGCCAAGAGACTGAGGCAGAATATGCATCACTATCACTGAATGTGGTCATTTGCTTTGCTTCATTGGTGTTCTTATGAATTATGAATTTTCTGATGGAGTTGTCCATTTGTCAAATTATATGGAACAGTTTTGATGTGGTGCTAAGGTAAAATCAAAATGTACACTAATTCAATAATTGAAAATATGATATTCTTTGTCTGTCTAAAACCATACACAAAGATGTCGCTGTGTTACATGAACTTCATTTTATGAAATATGCTGATGATTTACCTAATTGGTGGTCAAATTAACTGTGACATTTTACATATTGCCAGAACCATGTTTCATATCTTTGGGACTGTAAATGTAAATAATATCATGTAGAAATTATAGCAATATATATAATTATTGAGCGAGTCCTTGTTTTGATAATATGTCATTCATATAAACAAACAAAAAAAAAAAAATGAGATGTAGCATTCAGAAAAAAAACTGATATATGTACACGCACAGATGGGTCCTATTTTACTTAAACTGGCTGTGCACCCACAAAATAAGAAATCTTTCCCCTGCCCATTGTTACACTTTGTTGTTTTTTTTTTTTAATTCTATCATACCAAGTTCCTTTCATTTCTCTTTTCTTCTTCCTCCACTACATACCCTTCCCTCTCTCGCATGTCGTCTTTGCTCAAATCAGAGAATGACATCTTAGATGAATTCTCTGCTAAAATTCCATTGCCACCAATTTTCCCGCGTCCTCTCCCCGTCACATTCGGACCATCATTAGACAGGCACCAGTAAGCACCAATGGCCACACACGTCACCAGCGCGACACAGCCCTTACTTCCGGCCCGTGGCGGAGGCAATCGTAATTATTCCGGTCAACCGGGGCACGAACATACTGGGGACAACAACAACATGGCGAAAACCTCTTGTAAAGAGTGCTGTACGAAGGAATTTCACCCTAGAAATTTTGGTCTCAGTCATGAGAGTCCCGAGCTGTTTGCGACGGCCCAGGTAAGTTAGGGAGTTCATAGGTATGATAACAGTGAGACAATGTCACTGAGGTTATCATTATCAGCTGATATAGGTTACTTTAGGGGCAAAAAAATAAACAAAAACGGACAAGAAGTGTGATCACGTAGGATTTAGTTTACATAGTATTTGTAAACATATTTATCTTCTATTTTTAATGAAATGAACATATTGCAGTTATGATTATAATCGTAACTTGTACAAAAGTATTTTTACCAGAGGAACGACTTTGACATGTACATGATAAAACTGAAATTAATATGCTCTATATCAGAGCAGGGAATGTACAGTATACATATACTTCCATGATCAGAGCTATCGGGAAAAAAAGAGCTGCCTATTATTTTGTCGCCTTTTACAACGTTTACCTTGATTTAAGACAGTTGATATACTTTTGTGAACATATTGATTACTAGCACGGTCATCGGTTACTTATAGTTAATTCATTTAACAAATTTAAGGAATTGTGAAATCTGTCTTCTATTATGTATATGTGTGGTTAAAAAAGTAGGAGTGTTGGTAAAATAGGACACCAACATTCAATCTTCGCTGTAGTGTAATATAGTCGCTGTACATGGAACCGGAATTGTATAAATATAATGAGTAGATGACTGGACTGAAATTACCCGTATTGTATATTATATTGTTGTACAGGGCGTATATAGGCTGTATGTAATATTTATGACGCGTGACTCAGTGTATAGTGTATAAGCAACCACATTGCGCGGCTTGACTGCACCCAACATGCTCAGTCCTACGCCAGATACATTTAATGCATTTAAAATGTATATACACTGCAGTGGCGGATTTAGAGGATGGGGGTGGGGGTGGAGGGAGGTGGGGGGGGGGGGGGTAAGGGTGTCCTGACCTCTCCTTCGGTTTCTGAAAAATATATCACAACAATATTCCCCTCTTGAAATTAGAATTTTGAATAGCTGAATCATAGTTCTAAACCGTACCAAAGATCACCGCGGGCCTTTTGCCCTCCAAAACACCAAACTTTTTCGGGGCTAGTGAGCAGGCCCCGAACCCCACGTCAAGGGGGCGATGGTCGGCTTCGCATCCGAAGCTTGTTCTTCTGGACTCCCCCCCCCCCTTCAAATAATCCTGGATCCGCCCCTGCACTGTGTCTCCACGTGTTTTCCACTGCAGATTCAGAGTAATGGTATTTTTTTCTAAATTTAGAAATCGATGTACACTGACTACCGTAAGTGAACGTTAAATGAGAGAAAATTCCGTAGGGGAAGTGGCGAAAGAATAACACGTGTGCCCTGGCATGTTTATGTCACACAAAGGAGTGAAACGAGTCACGTAAATCGCAATACGATAGCCAAAAATATTTGATGTTTTGCGAAAAAAATGGACGCCTCATTTAACATAACGCAACCCATTTTCTAACACTCATATTCATCAGCAGTGGACGACCCATCGGAGGCATTGAAAACGCGACTCAGTCAGCATGCAGTGCCTCTCTCCAACAGTTGTCCGCCTTTACATTTAATGTATTATTGTTTTTATTGTAATTGTATAAGTGGCCTCTGAATTATTTATAGGCGTGTCGGTGTACTATGACAATAACAGCCATGGCGCAAATACTTGCAGGTTGGAAGACTGTGTCAAAAATTAATATTTCATTGTTACACAATTTTAATAGAATTAGCCCTCCATAAAGTTATATAAACAGCAGGGCCGTAGCCTGAGCAAAATGCCAGGGGGGGCAGTAAGCAGACACGAGGGGGCGAAGCCCCCGAGAGGGGGGAGGGTGTGGGAGGTCCCCCTCCCACAGTGTGGAAAATTTTTTAAAACTATGTATAATACTGCATTCTGGTGCATTTTAACTGTTATTTATTGCTCAATTAGAAGTCAGAAATTGCGATTATTTTTTTGCACCTCAAATCCCAGGGGGGGGCAGCTGCCCCCCCCCGGAGGCTACGGCCCTGAAACAGTGAACGTTATGAACGCTAAAGATTGAATGCCAGCCTTATGATAGATTGTCGTCACAGCATTTGAGCTTTCTCTGGACTTCACTATGCTGGATATTAGTATAACAACTTCAAGAACTTTGACGATCGCCCTTTGCCCAACCTGACGAAATCATAAAAGTTATAGAAAGAACTTGTCATTACAGGGAGGATTTGGAATTGCTTACGTCATCTACCGCGTAATCTGGGCGCTGTTCCATGTGACGTGGATAATTCTCAGTGGCGTCATACCCTACAGTTGGTATAGTAGCGAGCCCAATCGCGTCAAATGGTTTATCTACCTCACCAACTGGTCCTACCTCATCCTGACGGTTAGCGCCATAATGCAAGCTGCTGTGGCTATCAACCATTATGTAGAACGCAGAAAACATGGTAAGAACACGCATGCATTAAGTAAGATTTCATGGGACATTTACATGTACCCGAGTTTCTTATTAAACTGCCCACCCATCGCTGACATCGCGTTCATGTGACTTGGGCAAAATAAAAATGTAGATATGCAGATCTGCGTGATCTTCTTGGGGAAAATTACATGATTCGGTTAAAAAAAAAGTCTTTTTTTAAACCTTATCAATAAGAACGTAAAAAAAGGATAGCTGAAAATTGGATGTAACTGTAAGTGTCATATCAATGACCTTAAAAAAATGCTGATCTGACCGACACAAAACATTTTACTGGATTGAAAAAAAAAAAGAAAGAAAAAAATTATTTATTCAACATCCACGCTGTATACATATCGGATCATCTTGAGTGTGAAGTGGAAACTCGAATATATGCTATGTTTCATATTGGGAGTGATCCCAAAATTTGCCAGGTCTTACTTTATATTTCACACAACATTTTGTTTGTTGTTTTCAGGCGGCGTCCCATACCCGGCTATGACGTGGTACCTGAAGATGGCGTGGGTCATCTATAATATCAGTAGTAATGCCGCCATTGTAGTTACTGCGCTCTTTTGGGGTCTCATATTCCCGGCTTATTTAGGTGAGTTAAGTCCACTCAGAGAAGGACAATTTAATTTCTACAGGCCACAATTTTGAAGGCTTAGACAAAACTTCGATTCTTATGTGCCAGGAACAAGCACGAATATAAGACACCAAGTATCGCGAAAAAATTATAGGATAAAAACGAGCAATGTGGTTTCTTGTTGACGTCGACATCACTCAAGTACTTGAAAAGCTATCTCCTCATTTTTCGAGTCAGAAATTGGCGAATACATCATGTGTTTAATATACATCTTTCTGCATTTCCTCTAAATTTTGTTATCTCTTGCGTTTTTGCGTCATATTATTAGGCAAAGTGGAAGCATGGGTAATATGTTTAGTAACTTCCATTGATGAAGCATGTATTTAAGAAATAGGTACAATTTATTTTGAAAGTAAATGGAAAATATTTTAAAGACAATAAAAAAAACTGGTTCATTGAAACAGATTTGAAATTAACTTTTGTCGATGCTTATATAAGATTACGTTGTACAAAGCATAATGTTTGGCTGAGAATGTTTTATGAAATATAGCCTTAATATCACTTTGTATATTTCCTCAGCCACCGGCACAGAGCTTCATTATATCGACGTGGGAACACACGGCGGGAACACCCTGTACGTTCTCATCGACATCTTCATCACAGCAACTCCAGTGAGAATTTATCACTTCCTGCACCCATTCTTGTTCGGGGCTACATTCCTGGTATTTTCTGCCATCTACGACGTAACAAATGGGACCAATGCGTTGGACAAGGAGTACATATACTCCGTGTTGGATTGGACCAGCAATGCGGGGTCGGCGGCCATGTACGCTGTGTTAGTTGCGCTGGTTGCGATACCGCTGGTGCAATGCGTGCTGTACGGATTGTATCGACTGCGAACGGCTCTCTATGGGTGCTGCTGCCCACGTTCAGTTGGTCCTCTCGATAATGAGAGCGGTGATAAACAAGAATATGGAATGGCATAGTGTTAAGTAAGATAAAACTTCCGAGAAAGTCAAGACCAGTTCTGTATTTTTTACACTTTTTTACACTCAGGAAGAAGGAAAGTTATGAGATAGCTACATTCCTTTTTTTTTAAACTGCAATGCATAATATATTTTCTGAACATTGACTGTACATTCCGAATGGATGGAAGACAAAGATACAGTGTCAGAGAGGAAGATTTATTTTTATCATGTTTTGAAATAATTCCTCGTTAAATGTTGAGCGTAACTTAGTACCGAAAACTTGTTTTACTTTTTATACATCGAATATATTATATGTCAACGCGTTATAAATGATATTGATAAATGTTTTGTTTGTGATAAAAGGGTGTTAGAAACATCATTATGACATCCAAATGCCAGTGCGAATGAAGGTGGTTGTAAACATAAAGATATGAATAAAATTATTTTATTATATTTCGCATATCAAAGTTAACTTTAAAATCTCCTTGTGATCAACAAAATAATCTTGCTTTTACTTGTCTTTTAGTTAATACACAAAATTTGATAAGGGTCCCTTTTTAAAAGTTGTTTTACGTATTACTCAAGATTCTTCAATTCAAAAACACATTTATTCATTTTTTTCCTGTGGGAGGAACAGGTACCAAAATGTTTACATTATTTACACTCTTGCCCAAAATGGTTGGTACACGGAAATTTTGGGCGGCATATCGCCCTTTTTCTTTCATTATTATTGATATTATCAAATTAATACTGTTTATATTGTTAAATATGTGAAGCTGGAGGATTGGTAAAGTTAAGGAGAAACAAACAATGCAAATGTGAAAAAAGCGTTAATTTATTTAGGGTATTTTTTCTCATGCCCCCAAAAAATGTACTTTTTTTTGCATAACAGTACCAAGTGAAAAATTAAACATAAATTTATACTGTGATTGACAATTAATATAAAATTAGGGGAAATTATCAAGAAACATCTTCAGAGTTCATTATAAATCTAAATAGCGGGTATGCCCACCCCGAGCTTGGATAATGGCCGCCAGACGACGTGGCATACTGTGAACTAGAGTTACAGCTCTTTGGAGAGGAATTCTGGTCCATTCATCTTGAAGGGCATCTCGCAGTTCATTTAGATTTGCAGGGGGAAGGTTTCTCCTCTGAATAGCACGACCAAGTTCGTCCCACATGTGCTCAATTAAGTTTGCATCTGGGCTTCTTGCTGGCTGTGGCATCAGCTGAATGTTGTTTTTTCGGATATAGTCTGCAATTAAGCGGGCTGTGTGGGGAGTTGGATTGCCATGTTGCAATCTAAACTTGTCTCTGTATATCCCTCTTGCGAACGATCCCGGGTTCTGCTGGATAATGTCTCTGTATCTGGCAGCGGTTTTCATCCAGAGGAAGCAATGGGCAAATACCGTTGCTGCAAATGGCACCCCAAACATGTACAGAACCACCTGACAATAAAAGAAAAGTGCATGCTGTTAATTTATTTGTGAGGCATTATAAATTTATTGATAGCTCGTTTTTAACGTGTACTATTACGGGTATGAATAAGTTAACCTTCCCTCTACTACTTCATCCCCTAGCTACCCCCCCCCCCCCCTGGGCGGCAAAGATATCACATCATCTGGCTACGCTCGACTGTGGGGAACAACCTAAATAACTGAGTGGCATCGTATTACCTTCTTCTGGTGTCCCATACCGGCATTCACCCATTCAGCCTCTAGTAGAGAGTGCCTTTCTTTCTCTCAACAAGGTACTCACACGTTGCTGCCTCTCTAACACTGTATAGCATGTCAAGGGAATCTTGTAAAGAATGTTGCACGGAAGAATTTCATCCGAGAAATTTCAGCCTCAATCATGAAAACCCGCAATTGTTTGTCACAGCCCAGGTAGGTAATTACCGGAACTGTGATCAAATAGCCTAGGATAAGATACACCAAGACAACTACAATACAGGTATTTCACAGCTGAATCTGTCAGATACTCCAATTATGCTATATAGATGGAAACTTCCATATGGCAATCCTATTGTGTGTGTATATTTTTATACGTCTACATAGAGCGTAAAGTAAACGCGTTTAATAAGCATTATCATACTATATCATATATATATCTCATCCTTTGTGAATAAGTGAGATGCCTTCTTAAGAGATGGAAAACATTTGTAATTTCAGCCTAGGCGTGTAGTGTATTACATGTGTTAATTATACATACTAGTGTAGTGCCTTTTTATTTGATGCTACAATGTATATGCACGCTGCACACACGCCATATACCAGTACTTCCCATATTATGGAAGTTTTAGGGACCATTCCCAATGAAACTATCGGTGTGCGTAGATCGATCTAACTCCGCAGGGACTCCTACTGAATATAACGCAATCAGTTGAACAGATTAACACGTCTCATCTTGTTTCCAACGTACTCGTAAAATAACCAGCTTTTCTGTATTCTGTTCAACACCAGGAGGAGGCGTGTTAATGTAATAATCTGATTGCATTCAGGGAGAGTCCTCGCGGAGTTGGATCGATCTAAGTAATACAATAGTTTCATTGAGAATAAGCCCTAATGGACGTACCCTTTCATGATCATCTGTGTTGTGTGCTCTTTGCACTCCCTCCACATACCTTTATACAGGTAGTTATATTTGTGATCGTCCGAGCATGAACCAACATGTAAACTAAGAAGCACATAAGTTGAGTCCTTGTAAGGGGACTCTGTAAATTTACAAGAAGGTGAAGCACAATAATAAACTTTCGAAAAAAAATTAAGCCAACTTCTTTTTATTTGTAGTTTGGAGAAGTCCATTCCAGTAATATAAAGTAACCATTTTATGTTTTTTAAATATCTTATTTGGAAATTTTTAAAGCTTGGGCAAATAAAATGTTTATACTATCAGCATTTGAAAACTGTCCCAAAGTCATATTTTCTTTGTCAATATATCCTGCAAAGCTTTATTCCCCCAATTCAGACCTTTAAAAAGGACAAAACCCTCAAATAAAAGAACCTGATGTCGATATTTCCTTTTGAAATGAAGAGGTAAACATTGCAGTTTAAACGCCAGGAGAACATGTATAACTTAATTATTTAATAAAAAAATGGTATAAAATATAGAGACCTAACTCAAGACGGGTGGCACAATGATTGACTTCATCTATGTCGTCAAAAGTTTGTAGGTTTGAAAGTGCTCAAAATATTGAATGGGGCGATGTCGTCCGTACAAATGGCGTGTTACAGCTCTTTGAAAAAAAAATACCCTTCGCTGGAGTCAAATTAGAGCGGTGCAAAAAATTATGAAACTTCATTGAATGTAAATCTGACTGCAGATGTTTCCTCAGACTTCACGATTGCTCTTTGTCATTACAGGGAGGATTTGGAATTGCTTACGTCATCTACCGCGTTTTATGGGCGCTGTTCCATGTGACGTGGATAATTCTCAGTGGCGTCATACCCTACAGCTGGTATAGTAGCGAGTCCAATCGCATTAAATGGTTTATCTACCTCACCAACTGGTCCTACCTCATCCTGACGGTGAGCGCCATCATTCAAGCTGCTGTGGCTATCAACCATTATGTTAAACGTAGAAAACATGGTAAGAATATATATATATATATATTAATTCATATGTAAAAAAATTGATGGTCAAACAGATACATATATTAATGCTATCGAAACAGTCATCATCATCAAATATAACTTAAATGAGTGAAGTGCTTTTATCAAATTATTTCCCTTTTTCAGATGGTGTCTCAAACCATGCTATGACGTGGTACCTAAAGATGGCGTGGGTCATCTATAATATCAGTAGTAATGCCGCCATTGTAGTTGCTGCACTCTACTGGGGCCTTAGAATCCCCCCAAAATTAGGTGAGTGAGGTTCAATCTACCTCCACCAGGCTAAATCTGTCCACATTTCTGTAGTGTGAGGTTTTTTGCACAGAAATGGCGTCATCGCCCTGGTAGNAAAAAAAAAAAAAAAAAAATTGCCAGTAAGCTCCCGTAGATTATCATTATCATTATTATTTAGATGAAAGGCAATTACTGTCATGGTACTCGGAATGTGTTATTTTTTGAAAGTGACCATGAGATGCCTTTGTATAGGCCTATCAGTGTACGGTTTGGTGTTTTGTGTAGGCCTACGTAATTGCAACGTAATTGGTCTCAAACATGTCTTTTGAATTAAAAAAATTACCCTGTTACATATCCACAAAAAGTGTGGTTTACATCTTTTAGTTTACGAATTGTGCTTCTTTTTCCTTCTTTCAGCTGCCGGCGGTGAGATCCATTACATAGACGTGGGAACGCACCTAGGGAACGCCATTTATGTGCTAAGCGACATCTTCATTACGGCAACTCCAGTGAGAATCTATCACTTTCTACATTCTTCTTTGTACGCTATAGTATACCTCATATTTTCGGTTGTCTACGACGTTTTAAATGGAACCAATGCCGTGGAAGGGTCGTATATATACCCCCAGTTGGATTGGGATGTTCCGGGCACAGCAGCCATTTACGCTGTGCTAGTTGCGCTGGTTGCGGTACCTCTGGTGCAATGCGTGCTGTACGGATTGTATAGACTGCGACTGGCTCTATATGGGTGCTGCTGTCCGCGTTCAGTCGGGGAATTTAATACCGAGAGCTCTACAAAACAGGAATTTCAGTTAGCATGATTAATAATGGAATTAATACGCTGTTATATACTTTGTTTATTTTACATCAAACTGTCACTACGTATTAACGTTAAAATTGTATTCATTTCACACAAGTTCAAAACACTTTGTAATACTCTGTATACAATGATTAATCTTATCTTTTCATGTCTTATCGTCTTGTCCCAGTATGCATGTTTTTGTCATCAATGTTGTTATTTCCGTTATATTACAACAATACAATGCCAAGTCATGTTGAGCGGTTATTTGAGTTCACGATTTCCTTGTATAAATATAAATATATGTCAGTATTTTAGGAAGATTTGAAACAGTTGTGGCCACAAAAATCATACAAGAAAAGTGTAGTTTAGATTAGATAACATTCATCAGTAGTAGAGGAAATTCGCTGGCATATAGGCGTACCTTATATGAATTAACCTGACCTTGGACATAATAACGAATGTCCAAGACCTGACGATTTTGATAATTCCCCTATAATCCTATATCAATTACGCAATGTCTATAACAAGTTTATTTTAAAAAAGCTTGATTTTGTTTTGACAGTTGAAAGAGACAGTGCTTTCAATCTAAAATAGCTAGTGCACCGGTATGATCTTCTTCTGTTCAGATACTTTTGTTACGATTTTCTTACATTCTAATGTTAAAATAGTCATTGCGACCTTTGAGGTGACAGGCATACATTAAGTAGCATGTGGCACAAATTTTCAGACGGCTTCATGTTTTTTAAAACTCGATGTTCACGTAGACGGAGTAGGGTAAAACTACGTTCAGCTGATCCCATGGACCACAGGCGTAGCAGGTATAAAAGAAAATGAGCATCCGGTATTACAAAAGACAAAGTATCTGGTTGTGACAGGAACTAACAACAAAGGGAAATCTTCCACTCTAAACAAGCGTTCGAGGCCGGAGGGGAAAGAAGTTGCAAAAACACCGCCACGTCACTGAACGAGATTTCTGCCAGGGTATTCATCTTGTAGCACGATGAGAACTTGTGTTTATGGTTTAATTAGTCAAAGTCTTGTCTATTGTGTGAAATTAGAGTTTGCGATCGACGCAATAAGATTATTTATCCCGCAAATCCTTAGATATCAAATTGAATAACATTACATGCCTTATTTTATAACCTATTCTTAGTGTTGGTTGCGCAGATAAACTTGTTATTGTGTACATTGGACTGATTATATCGGCATTTGAAGATCAGGTTAATCATTTAACCGGAATTTCTTGTATTAGATAAGAAAGAGGGCTTTAATAACCCTCTGATGTAAGAATTGTTTGCATGGAGTAACGGCAAACAAATACAATGACAAATTTTTAGCTCACAAGGGTTTTCTTTTGTTTAAGCTAAGCGAACAAAAAGCAATATTTAAGGTACTCTGAAACAAAACCACAAATTAAAAAAGATGAATAAGTAGATTAAGAAAAAAATAAATAAAATGAAAAAAAGACAAAGAAATACAATGATATATCAAACCTAATTAAAAAATATTAAACTAAAAAGCTAGATTGACTGAACCATGAATTCAACAAGATCTATTGCCAATTTATAGAAGAATAGTTTCAAAGATAAACAACAAATAAACTATTCAAAGTATTACAGGGTTTGTAAATTAGCAAACAGCTACTGGATGTAGAGAACATAGCAGTACTACCGCAAGTGCCAGTTGAGACGCTTAACAAAAATGGTGTAACTTGTAAAGGTGAGAGTTATCAGATAAAAAAAATATTGGTTGAAAAAATATTTATGAATCGACCAATAAAATCCCTGACGGAGCGTGTTGCTATTTTTTCTTTCTTTCTTTAGAAAAAGAACATTTTGTAGAAAGACCAAGTTTGGTGATGGCATCGCCGGTTTAACAGGAATGGAAGTCAGCTGGGAACCGCAGTCCGCTTCCCATTACTTTGTACAGGTGACATTCGTCCCATATACTAACCCCAATACTCCAACTAACCCTAACCTGTACTAATCATGTGGGAAGCCGGACTTCCATTGGGAGGACTTCCATTCCTGCTAACCGGGGACTCTCGAGTGGCCATACTGCCGTATACATGTACTACTCGCCGTTTAAGTGGCGACAGTAAACATGTACATGTATGAATCTCACTATTTTAAACCATAAGAGACCATTAGAGACATTTCTGATATAGATAGGGCCCATAAAGCAAAAAGGACTGTAGATTCTATATAGATACGTCAGTAACAGGGTTGCCCTAGGTGTCCTCTGAGCTCATCTAAAAAAAAAAAAAAAAAAAAATTAAATCAGATGTAGATGAGTAACGGTCCGTGAAATATACAGAATTTAATCAAATCAATTTTGCCACCATGCCACCGTGATATGATTCATAAAATTTAGAACGCGGCTTTGGGGATATGGGGGAAGGGGAGTGGGGCTTAATTTTCCCCTTTCCAAAACAGATGGATGGATCAGGCAATTTTACCACCTTGTGTATCCGGATTTTAGTTTACAGTGACTAATGGGTGAACACCCCCTTTTTCAAATTTTAGAAGAAAATCGCACTCTTAGGTGAATGGAAGGGTGTCTCCTGTTCATTGATATCTCCAAATTATAATAGGGTGGATTTATTTCGTATAATGAGAAATGATAATAATAATCTAACTTTAAATCCTAGGATGACCACAGGCTTATTTCCACTGTTGCCCGTGCACAAGGTTTAGCAATTATAAGTTATACCGTGTATTTATACCACCAATTTTAAAAAGGAACTTATTTGAGCTATAAACGTAATAGATGAAAGTATTGTCTGCTTCTTCTCTCAATCAATTCTTACATCAGGATTTTGGGCATGATTTTTAAGGTTCAATCTTCAGCAGCTTTGGAGTTTGGGTTACCTAAAGGGGTGATATTCCTGCTGTGTTCGGCAGGAACAAGTGTGATGTAGCCCTACTCTCTGCACCAAACAGTATTGCTTTGAGGTTTAGAAAATCTTATTCAATTTGTTTTTATGGGAAAGACTTCCTTGTATCCTCTAGAATAGCAATGATCGACTGCTAGTGCTGAGAGAAAAGGTTAATGATGAGAGAATGATAAACATTTTCCATCTGTTTTAGAAAGAGTCAGATTTCTTGTTTTTTTCATGTTTTTTTGGACATGTATGATACTCGAACCCCCATTGTATGACAAGCGTTTGATTTGGTTGCAGTGCGTGACATACGGGTCATGCACACACACACACATAGGAGAGAGAGAGAGAGAGAGAGAGAGAGAGAGAGAAGTATAGATATCTATTAAAGCAAATAAAATGGAACTCACGAACTGTAAATCCACTCAATTTTTTTCTGAAATGAATAACATGGGTGTACCCTGAGTGTCAGAGCAACGTTAAAGCTAGCTTGTTAAATATATACCTTGTGATTGAGTCGCTTTTAGTAGTTTTGGTATTGTTGATATGGGTTATATATGAAATCAAGATCGAGCTGACAATACCGGAATCTAGAACCTAGGGTACATGGGTGTCGACTAATTATAAAATGAAATAAATTGTTTCAGAAACGGAGAGATATATAATGATTCTAAATGATAATATTACCAAACTGTTGGATTTTTTTAAATAAATGATAATAAATGAATTAAAAAGAATAAAGGTTAATCGGGGGAACAATTTTAACGCAGATGTCGGTCCAAGGTGGATAAGCCTCCTTAAGATGCCTGTAGACAGTTCCGTAAAAACGACCTTGGCAGCGTAGACTGTAATTAAATCCCATTTTAATTATCAGTGATATTTATGCTCAAAATCACTATTGTACCAAGTTCTCAAACGATCAACTTTATCACTGTGGTGATCATTGGAGTAAGTCTTTGTGACACACGCTACAATAAAATATTTTTATCTGACAAAACACAGAGTACCAACACAGTGCACAGCAGAGTATTTCTATTCATGTTTTGACTTCACTTATACCAATGAATTGCATATAACACGTTTTGCGTGTGTATCATCAACATATTGTGTTTGGCCACAGAGCATCCCAACGACCCTGGATGCACGTTACTTGAAGGTGTGGTATTGTTCTGATACCCTCACGTGAGAAGTACTCACAATCGTTGCTACCCTGGGCAGAGGTGATACGGGGAATAGAAATGCGCCATATTTACATAAAGATTACACCAGGGAATATCAACAGACCTCAAACCAGGAAGTAAGTTTCGACGGCACAGTGCTATTTATTACACAGACTGAACAAGGTTCTCTCTCCTGAGCGTCTCTGTATTTCACAGCAACCGTTTAATGCTTTGTGACTTTGTATTACGTGATAGGCTTGTCACGAACAATGGTATCTTGACATCCAATTTACCTTTGTATGTCGAGATATAATACACTAATTAATACATTAAAAACTGCACCGCACCAACAATTTTTCTTTTTTCGTTCGTTTACGTTTTGCCTCCTTCCTGTAGATATTTTGAACAAAGCTCCGACAATTAACAGGGCTACTTTTTTTTAAATCATGCACTATATTAAAGCAGAGGGAGCAGACTTTTACCCAATTATTCACTCAACAGGCGTTTTATTCACTTTTTTTTTATTTCCGAGTTTTCCACCCTAATCCACAGGACTATGTTTCGGTATAGATACAGTCAACCTCCGTGCGAAACCTCACGTTTAGATGTTTTATTTTACGTCCTTTGGTTTCTCAATGTTTCAGTATCAGTGAAATATGATTATTAAATATAAAAAAACATCTTTATATGGATACAAAATTTGCTCCACAATTCTGCTAGATGCAAAAACTGAAAAATATGATGCACAAAGAACTGAAAAAAATTTATACGAATTCTTGTACTTACTTAATTCTCACTACAGTACATGTACTTTTAAAATTTTAAACACAACGACGCTTTTACATCGCAATTAATTCCCGATTTTGTGCATTTCATATATTTTGACCAAATAATTCTTTATCATAATCATATCATACCAGAAAATCTTATTGTATGTATAAATCTTATGCCTGGATATTTGTATGCGTAGCACGGATC